TAGTCATCTGTAAATGCTTGAAAGATAAAAAGAATCGTATTAAGCAACTTTGTTTCAAGACAAAAATATTCATTTAATGTTTTTGAAGTTTCAAAGCAAATCGAAAAAAAAACCTGGAAAAATTTTGCGTCAGTTGCATTCGTTAAGTAAAAGTATTTTTCTTGAAGATAATGAATAATTCTACCCCCTGGAAAGTGAGTGATAAGTTCTGGTATTAGAGTTCATTGGATTCAAAACTTTTCGATTCGAACCCGGATTCGGTTGGGTCTGGAACCAATTCAACGGGCTCTACCTGGTGTATAGGTTAGCATGAATGATCTATTTCAGACAGGAATTCTCGTATTGTTCTGATTTCTTAATGTTCTATGTATATACAATCGAAAAACTTTCCAAATCAAAATTTTAATATAACGTTCAACCAGAAAAATCAAAATATTTCTGTTTCTCTTAATAGTCTATGTTAATTGTTCATGTCCATATATGCGTATGAAAGATTCAATATTTCTTTTACATAATGGACATATTTGAAGAGAATGACCACAAGGTATGCACGCAAGACACTTCTCTTCTTTCCAACATATGGCACAAAAATTCCATCGTGGTGGTGATTCATTTTGTTGATCAACCACATCCGTTTCTCTTCTGATATGTTGTGATGAGGTTGCCATTTCAACATTAGTGTTATCCTGAGAGTTCGATAATACTTGCATGAGTCAAGTTTTCTGCAAGATTATGAAACTGAACTATCCATCATATATAAGTTGAACTACAGATACCTGTTTGTTCTCGTTGACGAATCTCGTTCATTTTTATATTCGGAATAATAATATTTTCTTTCTTATTATCAATACGTTCAATTTGTTTTTGAAGAATCATGCAAGCTACTAGAAGATCGGAATCATCAGCAAAATCATCATCTGACATAGGAGTTAAATAGAATTTCATTTATTTCCTCTCTAAGGAATGAAAAACAAACAACCATCTTACGTTTTAAATCGAATTGATCTTTATAACAACGTTTGATGATTGATAAATGGAAACCTTGAGCAATTAAATTTTGCGAGATCGATAAATCAAGACGACTTCTAATAGGAGATGAGAAAGTGACTTCATCATCCTCATCATTGTCATGTCCTACAATGAAATAATATCAATTTCTTTCATATTTCTTTATCAAATAATCTATACTTCCTTCAACTTGTTGAATTTCTCGATACAACTCTGGACCACACAACTCTTTAGCAAATGCACAATGTGGAAACTATCGAACATGTTCAACGATTGGATTTTCGTTTGCTCCGAAGTTGTGTAATGATCCATTACAATAAAAACATGTCACAATAATTGTATTGCCAGTATAAAAAAAACCCAGCCTTGACCAGATCACCAACAGACGGTAAATTTTCATTTGATCATGTACCAAAAGAAGCATGACACATAGAGGTTTCAGTATAATTTGTATGGCATATAGCAGGGTCAACAATCTTATTATTCAGACATGTATTGTTATTGGTTGTCATTATAGGGCTATCTATCATGGCCTGTTCATTAATGATATGAACTGATGATATTGGTTGATTCTCTAACATTGAAATGACATATGAACATTTAGGAGAAAGTGTTTTATGCATTTGACATGGATCATCTGTATGTGGTGTCCATTTTTGACAGATAAGATTACAATATAAACAAATGACACGATCACCAACATTACAATTGAAGAAACCAGCTTCAATCATTTGTTGACTTGAAGGTGATTTTCTATGTGACCAATGTGAAAAAGTTTGTTTTCGTATTTGCTTTATTTTGTCAATTTCGATAAATCCATGTGGCTAACAAATAACTTGTGTTGCTTCAATTTTCTGATGTTTAGATGGCTTTTTATCATTCATTAACGCCGAATTCATTTCACGAAGATTTATCGTTAATGATTTAGGAGTCATATCATCGAATAGAATTGAGCGAACAAATGCACATTTGGGGCTGCGTTGTGCATGAATAACAAATGGTTTCACGTCTAACATCCATCTAGATACTCCTAATTCACAAGTATCACAACAGATTGTATCACCTATACTCGTATAATAGAATCTAGCAGAAGCCATACTTATAATAGTATGCATGCCTTGTCTTTGTAATAATGCTCTACATGTTTGTACTACTTGGCACAAAAGGTCAGCCAGTTTTGAACAGATAGATTGTAAAAAACTATTTGGCCTTTTTACTGAAGAGATGATAGGAGAATACGGTATCGTTGAACTTGAAAAATGATCATTGACAAACCTTTGACTAAAACTGCCTTATGTATTAGGACGCTTCATTTCAATCATTTCAAAATCTTCTAATTATATAGAAAAAAAAAGTTTTAGTTTCAAAATTCTATGTGGTGATTATATTTTTCCACGCTTGACTATTTGGTTCGATTCAAACAAGAGTACAATGAATTCTTTTTTTTTGGACTGTTTTACCTATACATTTAGTGAAGATGTAAATATATATTATGAAAATATAATTCCAGCTTACCAAATCTATGATTGATTTCTCGTTTAGAAAATATTTTGTATAACTAATTTTTATTCTTCTTGTTTATTGACGTCAGTGAAATTTATTTTCTAGATTTAGTAATGTTTCGTTAACAAACATAACTGTAGCAATCTATATATAAAATGTCGACAAAGAATTCTAAAGTACATACATGGATTATTCACTTCATGTTTTATTATTTTTCTTCTTTACAATTTATTTGTAGTAGAAAGATAAAAAAGAAGTCATGAGTATGAATATTTGTTTCCAACTTTCCATTGTTAAAAAACATTCTAAAGAAAAGAAAAAGTAAATTACGTATATCTATGAGTTACAATGACCTATTTACATATCTACAATTGGTTGACGTCAGCCTTGTTAACAAAACGTCCCTAAATTTAAAAACAAATTAAATGAAAATGAAGAATCAGAATTAAATTATACAAAAATATAATTAACATTTTTCAATGCTCACTAGTTAATTAGAATGCAGAAAAGATGTTGCGTAGGCACTAAATTGCAGACAAAGCAAATACTTTTGTCGCATAGTATGTGGGAAAGAATGACGTCACGTACAGTATGTTGGAAAGTATGACGTCACGTACAGTATGCGGGAAAGTATGACGTCACGTACAGTATGAGAAAAATCCAATCAAACAGTACGATAATGTCGACAAGAGGGTGTGGATATGTGGCTGTGGGTGTGATCAAAGAGATCCTCAAATCCACCCATACCTCACACCCACACCCAGACCCAGACCCACATGCACGTCCACTCACACCCCACACCCGCACCTTCACACCCACATCCACACCCACACCCTCGTTTGCTACATGCACGATTCAAAAATCGAGTTTACCTGAAAAATTCAATATCTCAACAAAAGAACATTCTTTTCGGATTTTTAGTACGTACCTAAAAAGCTGGGTCACACATTCAGTAAAACAATCATAACTCAGCTCTAAAAGTCCATAGGGATAAACTTTTTCAGATTTTTGTTAGTCTCAACAAGATATTCTTGTAGGTACATTATAACTCAAACGGTAGGTATCAGTCCAAGGGGTTTCTTTGTTAGTTATGGAAAAATAATTTTTATAGACATTATTAGAAAAGTGTGAGATGTCAGTGTGGCTTCTGTCTTTTTTTGACCTATATTCACACTCACATCTTCTTCTATAATTATTCATTTGACATTTTTCATTTCGATCAAGAAAACTTTCTCAACAAATCGAAAGAGGCATTGCTATAAACATAAAATATTGAAAAATGTTTTGGAAATTGTTTCATGCTGCAATTGAGGAGTAGTCTTTGACAATCATCTACACATAAACAAATGCATCATAAGTTGGGAGTTTCCATTGCGACGAATAAAAGAAACAGTGAATAATTATTGCTTAAAGATCAATTATCTTGCTTCAATATCAAAAGCAAAATATATTTGCAGATAATTCAGTTATGTAACTCTAAAAGATTATGAGCAAAACTTGCGTAAAAAGCGATGACTCATCTATTTAATAGTCGAAGTTTTTCATTATTGCACTAATATGATTCGTATTTTTTAACTTTTAGTTTTTTAAATGATCGAAACCAAATGAAACTATGTGGACATTTGCATTCAGAGTATTCGAAAATTCTTCTACTGTAACAAAAAATAACTCTGAATGCTTGTTTCACCTATACGCTTGTTTACTTTAGATGGATTTCTCATCCTTATTCAGTGCTGTGTGGTGTATTCATCACACTAATCCGTGCGAACGCTGTTCAAAGTGAGCTAGGACTCCTAAATTACTATTTTATAACAAAACAAAATAGAAATTTTCTTACAGTAATCTAGATTTTAGATTAAATGATATTAGTCGATAGCAATAAACCAACTTTGTTTGTTGGAAGACAAATATCGCGGTCCTTCTGCAGTTTAGTCACACCCTTACACTGATTAGTACATTGAATGCAGCAATCAGCGTGAAGGGGGGCGGGGGGGGGAGAAGTGAAGGTGTGATTAGGCTGCAGTAGTACCCAAACTTTTCTTTTTTCTTTTTCGTTCTGCCGCCTACGCTTGTAAATTACCAACTTGAAACAGAATGTATATTACATGATATTTGTCCAGTATTTTTGACGATTTGTTTTGGTGATGGAAGACCTGCTAGGGTTATGTAGAGTATCGATTCCTATAGAAGTAGTGTAGCTTTTTTACACCATTCAATTCGATTTTAAACAAGTTTTAAGGTATATAACAGTATGAAATTTCATAATATAACCAAAACAAAAATTTAAACGTTTTTTTGCTCCGTAGAAGGAAGTTCGAACGTTCAGAGGAGAGTTTATTCAGTGTTTACAAACTTTGCACTAGACCATTACAAGTACTAAGAGAGTAAAATTTGATTTCGGAATGAAACGAGCACAGAATTATTAGAAGAGGTAGAATTAATTTTCATATGGTAATTTTGAGTTTGAACAGTGAGTGTAATTATCTGCATCACGATCTCGATTGAAACAAAAAAGAGCACCGGAACGTTTTTCACGACAGCATTTCCGAACGAGATAAGACGAATAACTCGAGTTGAACTTTTTGTTCAGAATTTTCTCTTCTTCGAAACATCATTCTGTCATCACCTCTTAAACGATATTTTGAAGAGGAAAAAATTCTGAACAAAACCTTCAACTCGAATTATTCGTCTAATCTCGTTCGGAAATACTGTTGTGAATTTTTTTTTCCTTTTTTTATGGTTACGACCTTGATTGTAATGCAGATTTCTAGCTGAGTATTGGAAAATAGTCTTTTTGATTTAGAATGACAAAAACAAAAGGTATGATTCTAGGAAATAGTAAATATCTTTTTGGCGAAAAACGTTTCGTGATCAATTGTAGGAATGGTTGCTCGTTCGTTTTTTGTATGAGATGTTGGATTTTTCAATATTCGAAGCTTCGCATTGCATTTCATAGTTGAATGAAATTCAAATGCCATCTCGGGTAGATTCGATTCTTCCATTTTTATGCTTCAAGAAATAGTTAATGAGATTAGTTGAATAATTTAAATCTACTCGAAACTTCCAAGCAACCAAAAATTATATATTTATATATTAGATTTCTTTCAGATTTTACCAACTATACAACGAATATACAATGTCAACCTTATTCAGAGCGCCAACTGATGTTCTAAGTGATCCACCTCATAAATGGGAATCCATGGATGCTTCATCAAAATGGTGTGTTAAGAAGAAAGAAGATTCACCAACTTTTGCTAGTATCCGCCATCGGATTCAATCACTAGTTCAATTAACAAAAAGACTAGGCGTTTACACTGTAGGCCATATGTCTGGCGCCGGATTTGAATATACAGGTAATGGAGATACAGCTCGTTGTAAGGACTGTGGACTTGAGGTATCTAACTGGAGATCAGATATGAATCCATTTACTATTCATTCAAAACAGAGACCTGATTGTCCATTCGTCTACAATATAATACCATCTTCGTTATCAAATGAACAAACGAATCCTCCTGAACGCCAAAGTATCGAAGCGATGGATTCAGAATCTGTCTCAAACACTTTACTTGAAACAAGTTTACTTCAACAAGTGCGAAGACGTACTTTTTCTCATTGGCCACATCCTACTATTCCATCAAGTGCACAAATGATGGAAGCTGGATTTTTTAATTGCAATGTTGGTGATCGAGTAATATGCATTTATTGCAATCTGATTTGTCAACAATGGACACCAAATACAGATGATCCATGTGAAGTACATAAAACACTTTCACCTAATTGTATATATGCCAAAGCCAAACTGATATGTCCTTCAGTTTCATCTCTAATAATCGTCAATGAAGGTGCAACAGAT